TAATTTCTTCTATATTACTTAATATGTAGTTGTAGGTCCTCTCCTTTAATTTCAGAAAAAGATGGATATGTAATGATGGTGCCTATTGTTGTTCCTGCAATTGCTATTGTGTTTATTACAATTTGATAGGAAATGCTCTATTTTGTAAATAATATAAGCAAAACAAATGTTTAGTTCATAAGGGAACCTAAATCACCATCAAAGGGTAAGGGTTGTAAATTTAATGCTTCTTTCTCTTGTGGGGAATCATTTCAGTTGTTTTGTATTCCATTACTCTCAGTTGAAATAGAGGCATTTTCTATGTGCCAATGTTGCCAAAGAGGAGTAGTGTATGGATTCACATATACTAGATAACCATCAAAGTCATATTTGGATTTTTGATCTCCTCTTCGTTGAGGTGTACCCAATATGCTTTTAGCTCACTCTCTTTCAAGTTTTTCTTTAGTTTGATTGAGCAATGATTTAGTCTTTTCTAAAGGGAGGTTAAAAGATCACAAATATCATGAGCAAGTGCCTTGTAATTTCATTCTAGATCTTGTGAATATTTCTTTTCAAACTACCTTTTGCTCATCAGATTGCAAGAGAAATATTGTATATCTATTATTTTGTTTAGTATAGACAATGACAATTTTATACATAGAGATTATGTCATTTAAAATTTTATAGGTATGATCAATTGTTGGTGTATACCTATATATGTAGCGCATGCTATCATTCTCCCCTTAAATCAATTGGCAAAAGCGTAATTGCTATATAAGAGAGCCCTTAGTGGCTATTTTATCCCCATTTATCCCCTAATGTTCCAAGGATCTACAACGACAGTATATCCAAATCTCATTTTATGATCACATGCGCTATAATATTTTGAAGCTTGTTCGTGTTACTACTATGGCAAGCCTAATTATTATGCCTCGTTTGTGGAGTGAGTGGTACAAGGCTTTGGTATACAATGTATCCCTCTTGTAAATTGGCATATCAATCACTCTTAGAAGTAAGTATTTAGCTTTCCAACCAATTTCAAAATAGGGACAACTTTCTTCTAGAGGCCAAATATCTAGAACATTTTTTATACAAAAGTTCCAAAAATTTCTCGAGCAACAAACATTATTTTTCAAAGCATATCTATTTTGCTCAAAAGTAGTCCACTTTAAAAGATTTTTACTCCACAAAATTTTGTTGACTACCAATTCAAATTTTAGAATTGATCCAATGTCTATTAACCCAATTATCACCAAGTGTATTTTTGCTTATGGGTATCCAAGCTTTATTGTGAACCATTAAAGTTCTCACAATAGCTTTTTTGCTTAAAGATTGCATAAAATTTAGCAATTCTCAGAATTTTATAAATCCTTTGCAGATTATAATATTCAGGATTTGCATCTTAGGTAACTCCACAGATATAAGTCTCATTTATTCTGTGTACCTATAAAGTATTATCACACTTTCTTTGACAATAGTAAAGATACAAAGAGTCAAACTTCTATATACCTTGAGCAGAATATTGTCAGGTATTTTCCTCTATAATTTGTCGAGCTGTTTAAGAAATTTTTTTAAATTTATCATTCACTGGTCTAATTAGGCATACAAGATAGTTTAATTTTTTCTTTCTTATACTTGTAAGCTCCTAAATTTAGTCTTCCCGAGAGGTCACCCAACCCAATACTATTCAAACCAAAAGATGCTTAACCCTAAATATCCCAAGACCCTTAACCGATTAGAAAAAGGGATGCACTCTTGTTCATGGGCCCTTTCCCTTTATATTTGAACCCCATGTATCGTCTCTTAAATCATTCTTTTTGGTTGCTTACAATTTACCATGCTTCCCTACAAGTTCACGCCCTCGTAAATGGAAGCTGAGAGCCATAGCTCTCCCGAAAGCCCCGCTCTCTTGACACCCTACCCTTCGAGTCAAACCCAATGGAAGTAAACTGGACCAACCAGATGTCAATCAACATATGGTGTGATTCCCCCAGCCAACCAATAGAGTCAGACCTAAGACAGGTTTGATACTAAATGTAAGCTCTTGAATTTGGTCTTCCTGAGAAGTCACCTAGCCCAGTACTATTCAAACCCAAAGACGCTTAACCCCAAATATTCCAAGACCTTTAACTAATTGGAAAAGGGGGTGCACTCTTGTTCATGGGCCCTTTCCCTTTATATTTGAACCCCATGGATCGTTCTCTTTGGTTGCTTACAATACTTTTTCTTAGTCACATAGAGTGGGGATTAACCAACTTTTGTCTAAGTCTATAAGAAAAATATATCTTCTAATAAGTGTGATGGATTGCTGATAAATACTTTTATTTTGTCTACCCCAATTCCCTTATTCAACTTCTATCAGGAATGTGGAGGGTTGTCAATCCTTAATCTCTCTGCCTAGGTATGTATGAGGATTTTTCCTTTCTGCTTATGCTTAGTATGGTTAAGATTAATTCAGTGCAAAGACTCTAGCATGTGATAGTTAATTCTAGAGTAGCTTGTTTGCTTCACAGTGGGTCTTACCCTTTAGCTTATAGTCAACCTTGCCTTTACAATTATGGAATTAGAAAAAGTGGTTTATTGCTCTTGGTAAATTTTAGACAAACTAGATCAACACTAAAGACTAATTTATATGGGGCGTGGAGACCATTCCGTGAAATTGCCTTATGAAATTAATACAAAAGTCAAATTGTCTAGTGATGATAGCCTGTTGTAGATCAATTTGCTTATAGAATGATGTTAAATAGCTTTTCAAACATATGATAGCTAATTTATGGAAAACTTTGCTTCAGATCTAGACAAAAATTGTTTTTCAAAGCAAATTGACTGGAAGAGGATCAAGTATGCACTGCTTGCCTCATTCGACTAATGATTGACGCATCACAGGGAGATCCATTGATCTGCTTCTTTGGTTTGTACTTCGACATGTACAACCTCAAGCACTCATCTTCTATTTAGAAGAGAAACCACAAGAGGATATATATATTTCATGGATACACTTTTCAGGTATGAGAAACATAGCTTTGGGTTGGAAATCCCTAGCCTAATCAATAATAGTCTCTTTGCATCACTCCTAACAGATTGGGCCTAGAGAATAACAAAAAAAATTCAAGAGCTAGCCCTCTACCCTTTGAGCTCGTGGAAAGTACCCTTGCATGGAGGTGGCAGCTGGTTAAACTTCAGAAGTTAGCTTGTCTAGAGGACCTCCTGTTGCTCTTGCTTCCTTGCCACAAAATCACACTTGCAAACACATGTCCAAACATTGAACTACAATGTAGTTCTCAAAACAACATCTTTTTGCCAAAACTGTCAGTCAACTATATAGTCAACTCTTTGTAGTCAATGTGATGACCATTATTAAAATGTTTTGAATTTATAAACACAAGATTAGTCTAAATAAATATGAACAATTAGATTATAGAATATTCAAGAATACCCAGGTATATCCTATGTTGGTTTGCTTAGAGACGTTATGTGACCATCACTGTCATTTTCTGTGTGGTGATAGTGATAAAATGCTGTATATGTAACCATCATACACATCAGATTATTCTAGAATATTCCAAAATCAAGTTACCATTGAGTCAGTGCTGATTTGTCATTGATTAATGCCACATCATTAGGGTTCATGTGGGATGAATAGGGCAACGGTTGTGGTTTCTATGGTTGTTGTGGCTGCTATTGCAATTGATCAGTTGGTTGTTGTTTATAGAAGATCTAGAAAGCATCTTAGAGAAGATCTTGAGGATGAGAGGCTTGAAACTACTCTTTACCAACAATTAGTGCTAGTGTATCATCACATGTGCTTGGTAGTAGTTGAGAGTTGGTTCCAATTGAACTTCTTTCGGGAGGGAGATTTCTATATCAGACTAAGGTCTCTTCATTGGTTTTGTCATTGGGTGGATAAGGTTGGAATGCAAGATCCAACAAGGTGGAGAGAGTTCTTCAGAGTTTCTGAGGAGCAGTTTATGACAATCTGCAAACTTGTTACTTTGTTAATGCAAACAGCACTGCCTCCAAATTTGAAAAACATTCCATCTAGATATGTTCTTGTTGGTAAACAAGTTGCCATTGCTTTACAGAGATTAGTTTTAGGTGATTCTTTTGCTAGTTTGACAGAGCATTTTGGTGTTTCTAAAGCATTTGTCCAGAAGTATTGTTAGAAGTTCTCCGACTCCACATTCTAGCATCTAGGACAATTTCTTGTATGGCTAGTAGATCGGTCAATAGTAAAAATAGGTTTTGAGAGATTTTGTGGCTTCTTGAATTTCTATGGTGCAATTGACTGCATGCATTTTGAAGTTGAACTTCCTGGAAACACTTTTGCAAATAATTATTACAAGGACAAGGATAACTCAATTGTCATGCAAACAATCATTGATAGTGAAGCAAGGTTCTTGGATATTTGAGTTGGAGATCCTGGGAGTTGCAATGACATAACTATTTTAAGGAAGAGTTCATTCTATAGAAGAGCTCAATCAAGTGAAATTCTTAACGAACCAATAGTCTCAAGAGGCCAATACCAATTTTGGGAGTATATCATTAGAGACTCAGGATACTACAAGCTTTCGTGGTTAGACCATTTCCAAGTGCAAATGGAATTAAATTGAGGGAAGCATTCAACTTTTACTTGTTGTCTTTGAGGATGGTATGTGAGAGAAGTTTTGGATTGCTTAAAGATCGTTGGAGGATGTTTAGGAAGTTGGTTAAAGTTGAGACCATCACTCAGCTAACAATTGCCATAAAAATAGCTTGCATTCTGCATAACTTCATTATTGGTATAGGTGACATAGGGGAAATAGACGTTGAGCTTGAGCTAGTGACTAATCAACCACAAGACTAGCGACTGGAACCTCATGTCACTACTACAAAGCTTAGAAACATTCTCATTACTTATGTAGTAGACTTAAACAAATCCACTTGAAGCTCATGAATTTATTTATTTTAGCGTGCTCACAAACTCAAGTTTTGTTTTATTTTTCAGGGTTTTAACTTAGAGATTTCAGTATAGGGCTTGAACGCAGGCACAGCAAGGAACCTGGCTGAGAGCATAGAGAGGGGGGCTATGATGAGTTTAGAGTCACAGCTGCTGCCAATGTTGGTCTGATTCTAACATTCAGGTTCATTTCCGTTCTCCTCATAGGGAAGGTTTTACAATGATTAAATGATTGTGTGTTGAGTCGTCTGGCGGCAAGAGGAAGAGGGAAGAAAATGATTTGGAATGGCACTGCAGAAGACGCTTAGAAATGCAGCTTGAGGCTGGTGATGCAAGGGAATGCAGCTTGAGGCCATTGAAGCTGTTCTATCACTAGAAGTTGGGATCCTACTTGGTCTCCCAACGAATTCTTCAAAATTCCCAATGAATTCAGTGGTAGGGCAGGTGGTAGAAGGCCTGGATATTGTCCAGAAGATTGCGAGTACCAGGGTGGTCAAAGATAACACAAGCAATCTTTACTTCCAGTATGTATTTTCTTCTCTTCGTTCCTTGGGAAAAATCTCATCTTGAATCCCCATAGCATTGCCAAGCTTATAGGCGATACCTGAGCAGTGGTCACTGAGAGGGGATTCAATCAACCATACACAAAGATTGTCATTTCGCAGTGTGGCATTCTTAGTACTTACTCTTGCAAAGTTCTTTCTTTCCTTTCAATCTAACTCTGATCCATTTGTGTTTCTATTGCCAGACAACTAATACAAACAGCTTCATGTGAACACTCGTGTCCTTCCAACAAGAATGCTCTATCTAAATTGATGGAATTGATCCAAGGATATTGGCAGTGGCAATGCAAGGTGGGAATGCTGGGCCTAGAATTGTTGATCAGGTAAATCATCACATCTTCATCAGTTCATCATCTCTCTCATCGCTTTGGAGATAGTAATTAGTAACACTGTAAACTACAAAAGTGAAGTTCATGAATAAGATAATGAATTGACTTACCAAAAAATCAGCAATTGCAAACACCTTCTTCAGATTATGACAACAAATTTCCTTCTAGCTATTTTCCATTGTATCAATGAGGCTCACATTGTTGTCACACAGCGCTCCTGCAAATTGTTTTGCAAGTTGTGTGCAGGACTTCTTCCTCAACTGGCCTGAACTATGCTTTTCAAGATTGTTGTTATTTTTTGACATTGCCAAAAGTGATTATAAACAAAAACTACAAAACATACCTTTAGGCTTTAATTCTCCATATGGAGGTAATAGTGATCATTGTTGTGAAGCTCTTGGTGTCGGTAATGATGATTGTTGGGATGTAGATGGTGAAGACATTGATTCCTATGTCTGTCTCTGTGAATTTATAGTTTGACAGTCCTAAAGCCACTTGTCCATCATTGCATAGAGTTGATCATTGAACTTTGGTGGTATATCAGCTTCATGACGTTGCTCTGTTGTCATGTTTCAGTACTGATTTTGCCAGTAAGAACATGATATTCATATGACTTGATTTTGTTGAACTCTTTGTAGATATACTCCCAATAAGATTGGCATTGCCCAGGCAAACAATTAACACCATGTGTCAAACAGTAGCTGAAAACTTAGTGAATGACTGGAAGTCTAAAAAATCCAAAACTTACTTGGAAACTTGCTGCCAATGAATGCTTGTAGTCTTGTGCCTTTTAAATGCTACCTCGCTGCTGTAAGAAGAAGTCATGTTTCTTTGCTTCATTTAGAGCCAACAATTCATTTAAAGACCAATACCCTCGATTTCTAGTTGGTTTTAAAGGCTTTCGTGGAGTGGGAGCAGTAAAATTCCCCCTGCTAAATTGAGAACCATCATACAAAAAAAGTTTTGCTGACATTGAGTGGAGAACACAATCTCTAAATTGTTCAACTATTGCTCTACCATTCTACTCAAGACTCTAAAACCAAATAACTGCCACATCAGCATTTTAACTTGCTATTGCAAGTTTCATGGTAGTCAACCAACTGAGCTAGTTTTGAAAAACATTTAAATTGATTTCACTGTCACAATGCCACTATTAAAAAAATGATGGTGACAGTGACATGTACTAAGGCAATGTTACTTCAAATTGCTGATGTGGCCATCACAATTTGACTGTGATAGTAAAATATAGTGCCTACATTGAAGAAATACTCAAAACTGAAGCTATAAAAAGATAGGTATTGTGGAAAAATAAAGAATATAAAAATATGATATGTGTGCAAATAGGTCATACACCTTGTGAAAGAATCATTTGCATGTCTGGAAACCATAATCTAATGTGACCATCATCTTCTATTTATGCAATCAGCTGTTTGGTGTTCGTTTGCAAATAGCCTACAAAAAAAAACATCTATTAAAATAAATATTTGAATTGTAAAGAATACTTGAGGAATGCATAAAAAATATGATCTTATATAACACTTTTTCTCCATCTAGCATGTCATAGAGGACAAAGTAGCAATCTATTTAAATTATAACTCAATGTAGATTGAAATAACAACTAATTATCCTTGTCTCAAAAGGAATCCTGTATTTGGAATGATGCTAGACTGAAAGATTAAAGGGAACTGAGTCTAGTATTCCTAAGAGTTTAAGAATGATTAAGATTGTACTCCAACATGATAGTTTTGAAAACTTTCATATACTTATATTCCATGATATTGGAAGAGAAGGGAATAGTTGGTCACAAAACATTTTACAAAGTGCTAGTTGTCATTGAAGAAGCAATATTCCCTTATACTTGCTTTATAATTATTTGTGACAACATGCAGAATAGAAAGAAAGTTTTCAAAGGGATAGGAAATGGCACTTGTAATCTTTCTTATTTCCAAATGGGAGCTAGAACATAGATTTGGATGCCTTGAGAGGCGCACTCTGCTTGCGCCATGTCAAACTTCTCATCATCAAATTACTTAGCTATCCTTCATTATGCATCCCTATATATCCCTATACTAATTCCTAAAGCTCTCCAAAAATTTGGTTCTTGACAGGTATGGCATTGACTTTGTGGAAGATTTGATAAATTTCCTTGTAAAATCGCCTTGCATACATGCTTTGCAAAGAGCAATCCATTCAACATAGATTAAGCCCATCATAAAAGTGGGCCAATTGTCTTTAAATTTAATTCTCTGTATCAACATCCAATGGAGCCTTCGTAAATATCAAGAATGGGCTGAGGCCCAGCGGAGAGGATAACATATGGAACTCAGAGAGGAGAACATATGAAGCATGTCGGGAGGCAACGAGGGAGATAGGATACAAGGAAGGCAATGGGAACGAGGTATCAATGAGCCCATCTCCACCTGCGCCTCAAACGCAAGCATTTCACACCACTACTTCCCACTTTCAACAGGAGCTCATGATAGACTCTCACCGGCATGGTCTTGAGAATCTGGATTGCCACGCCTAGCATGGCACTGATGTGGAGCAGGAGGAGCGCAGTGCTGCTGCTCAAATTCACAACAGCAGCGTTGGATCTTGCGTTGCTGGCTATAGCAAACCCACTGCACTTAACACTCCAGATAGATTTCTGAAGACTCTCCTATGCCCAATCTCTGTGCGTCCCGCTCTCCATCCATGGGGGATGGGGCGGCTCACGGAATGGCTGGATATCAACGATCGATGTTTGGGTCAACACATCAAGTCTGAACTGCTCTGAAGATGTTCTCCAGCATCACATAAGGCAATGCATCACTCACAAGGCTGGACTGGCACGTAAATTCCGCAGCATGCATCCCTCGATTCATCTCCCCGTGGTTTTTGCACGCGGTAAGAAACGTTGCCCATGCAACTCCATCTGCTGGCAAAGGCATATTCTCCAGGACATCCTCGGCCCCTTTCAATCGCCCTAGTCGTCCGAGAGCATCAACAATGCAGGCGTAGTGGTCTTGCGAAGGATCCAATCCATTGTCAAAGCTCATTGCCGTGAAGTAGCTTACTGCTTCCTTGACGAGCCCCAGACAGCTACACGCCATCAAAACGATGGCAAACGCTGCCTTGTCGGGGCCAAAGCCGTGAAGAAACATCGCCCAGAAGAGCTGGATCGCTGCCCGGTCTGGGCATATGCTGCAAGAATCGTGTTTCAGGAGACCAAGTTCCAAGTTGGCATCTCATCGAACGATTTCTTAGCATCACAAATATTTCCATCTAGAGCATATACCACTAGAAGTGTGTTCCATGAATAGGAATCCCAGCAGCAAACCAAAGAAAACGCCCGGATCGCCTCTTTGAAACGACCTCTCTGGGCATAAACAGCGATTATCGCGTTCCATGAAACAAGATCTCTGTGTGGCATTTCTTCAAACAAGTGTTTTCCTTGATCAGCATCACCGTTTTGCGCGTATGACTTGATCATAATCGTCCACGACAGTACGCTGTGCTGAGGCATCCTATCAAACAAACTCTTGGCTTGAATCAAATCCCCATTTTGGGCATAGCAGCAGTGCATCGCCCCCCAGAGGATCGCGTTTCGGTGGACAATCTCCTGGAAGACATCCTCCGCCTCCTCCACGAATCCATTCTCCGCAAACATGACGAGCATCACCGCGCGAGTGATGCTGTTCTTCTCGGGCATGGAATCAAACGCGGCCTTCGCATCGCCCACTCGCTCGCGCTGCGCGAAACCCTGCACGAGGATCGTCCACGCTACCACATTCGTCTCGGGCATCATATCCAGCACTTCTCTCGCTCGCCCAATCTCTCCGCCGCGAGCAAATCCCCGCAGCAGCGTCGCCCACGTCTTGCAGTTCCTCTCGGGCATCGCGATCCAATCCGCCCGCAATCGCCCAGCGCCTTGACCATCGCAGTGGAGGAAACTACGTTCCACACCGCCATTCGATCGAACTCCCCCGGATGCCCACTCTCGGCATACGCGGTCACGAGCGCCGTCTACGACACGATGTTCTTGGCCGGCAAAGCATCAAAGATCCTTGTCGATTCCTCCAAAGCCCACACCGCGCGTAGACAACCAGCGTTTCATCCCACCAAGACGATGCCTTGTGAGGTACGCGCGCCATATTTTAAATCCGGGAGATTATTCGAGGTATCACAAGGCCTTTGCTTTTATTTGTTACACTGTAAAGAGTTTCCTTTCTCTAGCAACTTTAAGGAGCTTCCTCGCTTCGCTCGTGGCTCCAAAGAATCACCCCAGCCAAAAAAAAATTCCTCCTTCCACGACTACTACTTCGCTACACTGCTCTACCAAAATCCACCCAGCAACACTACTTACTTGTGGAGTGTGATTTACAATTCCACCTCTTGCAAGTCGTCTCCAAACACTCCGGAGGAACTGGCAGCTTCGAATCCCACTGTGCCGGACTGTTGATGGTGGTGCCGATGAATCGAACTTTCCTGGTGTTGGTTTTGCTGCTGCTGCTCGACCATCACTGGCGGAGTGACTTCCAGAGCTGGAGGTGGCGGCAACGAGACGGTCGACGGTGCTGCTGGATAGTGATTCGAATAGAACATTGCTGGCGAAGAGCTGCTCGAGAGATGATCAGGCGTTGGCCCCGGATCGTTTCTCATATCCTGTACAACCGGCTGAGCGAATGCTCCATTCCCGTTTGAGAACGCCGTGTCGGAGACAAAGGCCGGTGCCGAGTAAGGATCCACCGAATGGTTGCTGTTGATATCTGGAGCAGCGGCAGCAGCGGCCGCAGGCACGAAAAATCTCCCTGGAGCCAAAGGCTTTGCGCTTGCCTTTGGCACCACGCCAAACAGTGGAGGAGAGTCCGATGATGTCTTGGATGGTGTTACGCTACCTTTGTTGAATGTATCGACATATCTGCAAAAACTTCGTGAGACTGGAGTGATGGGAATGACCAAAACGGTACCTTGATCTAACGTTTTGACGTGCGCGAGCTGCGTACTGGTTACTGCTTGGAGGCATTGGTGGGATTCCACTCACAACCGGTTGCGGCCTTTCCGGAGTTGGCTGTGGTCTCTCCGGCGACATGGAAATAGGAGCGCCGTTCTCCTCCACGCGCGAGACGAGCCTGTTTGCCGTGGGAGGAGGAGCCAACGGAAGCTCTGGCGCTTGTGCCTCGGCTCCTTCTTCAACCCAGCGCTTCAGTGTCTCGTCGTATCTAAACTTGTTGCTGTCGCCAAGCTTTGCCTGCATCACATACCGACCATCAATCAGCTAGCGCTCTTTCCAAAGCTTCTACAAACCTCCTTCGAAGGTGTTTTTATGAAGCCCATCGCTCTTTGCACGAAAGAAGTAAAGACGCCTCTGTTTGGCGTTCCTTTCGCTGGACTAACGATCTGATGAAAGAATACAAGTCTTAATCGAAGGTACACAAGAGCAAGTCGAGTTACCTGTGCAGGCCTAAAGTCAGGCTCAGAAATGCTTCTCGCTGGCATGTTGGATCTTCTCGTAATATCACTTATGGGTTCCATTGATGCCGACGAGGCAAGTGATACACTGCTTCTGCTAGAAGCTGTTGCGGGACGGTTATTAATATCAGCATTATCAGAAGCTTTCGGGGGCGAAGGGCCTATCATCTTGTGTAGACCAATATTGCCAAAAAACCGTTGCACAATTGACGTCGAGCCTCCCTGGATAACAGGAAAGTGAGTATAAACGCCGAGTGTCCGCTTACAAACCTGAGAGTGGATACGAAGACGCTCTTCCAAGGCTACAGCCGCTTCTTTGCACACATCAGCTGCATGGCCCGCTGTTTTCAATGTTTTCAACACCGCTAGGCAATACCTTCGAAGAGAAACCTTGTGTTAACGAAGCATACAGTTAAGAATCACAACCAACCTTAAAGCTTCGTTTATCTTTCCAGCTTCAGCAAGCATCGACGCATAAATAAGCTTGTATGGCTGAAAAGGAAGTAAAATAAACTGGGAATTGCCAGTCACTCTTGCAAATTCGTACACTTCCGTTCGCTGATGAAGAAAAGGTTAACAATTGTTATTGAGGACAAACACGGCTTACCTGGATAGCTTCTGGACTAGCGTACGTGCGTGGATACTTACAATGGTCGGCACCTATAAGACAAAGTCTGGCAGAAGGGGAGAAAGGCTCAAAACTAGCATTTGCAACAAGATAGCAAATATGGGCTCCACATATCTGCAAGTTAAAACTATGAGACACATCAAAGTGTGACCATGTATATACCTCATCTCGATGTCTCCAGAGACAATCACCAAGATGCATAATCACTCTCTCGTCCCCATTAGTTCGGTTAGCTGCCATTATAGCCAGGTTTTCCTGCCATTCTTCGAGCATTCCTTCTACTGCGTCCTGCAAGTCAACATGCACTCCTTAAGCAAGAGAGTAGCTTGATAAAAGTATTTCACCTGTGTTGCACCGTCTACAGCGGACGCTGGAACCGGTTGAGGTTGAAGCGCCGTTACGTTTGACAAATTAGTGTTCCCTACGAACACTCCGGCATGTTGACCAGCATAAAGAAGAGTTAGAGTCCGGAGGGGAAACCCTGGTTGAAACTGACGTTGAGCCATCTCCGCTATAGTGTCGGTGTAGAACTAAACCACAAGACCATCACTAACGGTCTATACATCAAAGCTACAAGACAAGGTACCTTCTCTCCCAGCTGCCGGGCCATAAGAAGAGCACATCCCCAAAGTTGCCCGTCTTGAGCAGCCCGTAAAGCCTCTTTCTGCTTTCCGGCAATCAGTAGCCTTTTCACCTCAAATGCAGTTGCCTGTCGCCAGAAAGTCTTTGTTTGTATCAACTCAAGAGAAAAAGACTGCCCAACCTGCATTTGCTGTTCGGTTGGAGTTGTCTGTAGACAGCGAGAGCCAAAAGCCCATGACTCTTCGCTCTTACTTGGCTCTAGCAGCTTCGCAAGCGCTACTTCAGGTCCGTTATCATCCTGGATTAAAGACAGTAAGTTATTCCTTCTAGTAAAACACTCAAGAAAAAATAAATTCTACCTGCCTACCCATTGCTGCAATATTGACAGTCGACCGAAGGTTGCCGTAGTGTTGGCAGCAAATCTTAAGCACCCCCCACATATACCGCAAGGATGCAAGGTTACTGCTACCAGATTCTTCCAGTTTCATAGTCTTCTCGTCCAACCATTTCATCACGTCCTTCATGGACGCGTTGCCAGCAAGCGGGCCACTGCTGTGCCCGTAACCGAGACCAAAGTCTGCCAGCTGATTCATCTGGAAAATCTGAAATGGCTGCGAAGTCGAGAACTGCAGAAACAAAATTTGCGCGGGTTAGCAATCAAACTACTTGCAAAGTTCCTTTCCTTCATTACCTGTTCGGCTCCCTTTGGTTTCATAATCACTAACCTTCCACCAAAACCAAACGCAGTCACAGTACAGGGTGGTCTTCCCGCAGTCGACCTGAAGGCTTCCTCCTGTGTCCTGGGAGGCGTAACCGCATAGTTTGCTGGCTGACCGAATTGATACTGAGAAGAAGTATAAGAGTGATAGTCCTGTGTGCTGCCGTTGTTTCCAGCGTAGTTAGCATAACCTTGTCCAAACTGCTGCTGACTCCCATAGTAGCCGGAAGTTGATTGCTCCCATTGCCCAGTTTGGTAGTTGTAAGTCCATCCGGGGTACTCGGGAACTTGGTAGCCTTGAGCAGTCTGCGATTGTCCCGTTTGATAGCTAAGACTATCGTGAGAGACCTGCGGTTGGCCTGTTTGATAGCTAAAACCACCGTGAGAAATCTGCGTTTGACTTGTTCTATTCTCCAGGGGGATCTGCGGTTGAAAGGAATTCTGGTACTGGAAAGAATTCTGGCCCTGGTAGCTAAAACTCTCTTGACCAGTTTGCTGCGTTGGAAAAGAATCCTGGCCTTGTTGGTAGCCGAACATCTGTTGTGGAAAACGCTGGCCCGTGCTCCCTTGGTAGCCGGAAGCGTTCTGGTAGCTATGCGTCTGCTGGGGAAAAGATTGCAGTGTTTCTTCTTGGTAACTGGAAAAGTCTTGCCCACCCAGATGGCTGCTAAAAGAACTCTGAGGCAAAGTATTTTGGCCTGCCTGGTAGCCAAAACTCTCAGTCGTGGCAGGAACTGGAGCTTGGATAGAATTCTCAGCCGGAGTATTTTGGCTTGACTGCAAGCCCAAACTCTCAGTAGTGGCAGCCTGTGTTGGAGCTGGATCCTGGTAGTTGAAAACCTCCTGGCTGCCCTTCGCTACAAAAGGATCGTAACTCGGTGCATCCTTTGTCGCCAAAGAGCCAAACGACGCCTCTAGAGAATCCTGGTAGCTACCAAAATCTTGACCACTCTGGACCTTTGGGGAGAAATCCTCTCCCTGATAGCCAAACGAAGCATCGTTGCCTTGAGCCACTGGAAAACCGATATTGCCCTCCTCCTTGCCGCTGTTCCCACTCTTCTCCTCCGGATCTAAAGGGCGTGCCGCGGCATCTTGATCCGCCTGTGCCAGGAAGTCCGAGAAGGAGCCGAATCCACTCGGATCATCGCCCGAGACGAGGCTGTCGAGGCTGTTCCAGCTCACCTCGGAAACTCTGGTCTCCATTTGTGGAATCTAGCGTGCTCCCGAGCGCCGAATTACATGGATCTTCGATTCTAGGCAGAGATTTCGCGCTAGATCTACGCGGCCCACCTTTTGCAGCATCCGAATCCAGCTACCATTCGTGAAACCCCATCCCTGTCCCTTTAACCCTAAAACTACTACTATATTTGATTCCTTGAAATATTCGCAGGCTCGGGAATTTAGGGTTCTAGCGCCCTTTCATGGAAAAAGGGGCGGCGGTCGCGCGCCCGGATGAGAAGCTCATGGCCGAAATGAGAGAGGGCCTGGAGGAGCTGCAGAAGAAATCGCGGGAAATGGCGATCAAGGCATTGGATTTCTAGTGTCTAGTTCTTTCATTTGGATGACTTAGTTCCTTTCAGGTGAGAGAAGGGGAGAATCAAACGAAGGATGGAATCGGCTACCTAGAAGTGAAGCATTTGCTTCTATCGAGCTACTGCCAGCATCTCGTGTTCTTGATCCTGTTGAGAGCCGAAGGGAAATGCGATCTTTCCGAGCATCCTGTCATCCAGCGTCTTGCCGAAATTCGTTTGTTCTTGGAGAAGGTAAGTTTCCAGAAGAATAGCTTCGAGCATATGAGAATAAAAACTGGTTTTTGCAGATCCGTCCCATTGACAAGAAGCTACAGTATCAAATCGACAAGCTTCTCAAGCAAGCCACAGCACCGGCTAGCGATCAGTACCTGGCCGCTGAGAAAGACGATCTAAAGTACAGGCCTAATCCAGACTTGCTCGTTTCCAAAATCGAGGAAGACATGGAGGTACGAAGATCATGGTTTTCTTTTCTCGTGTTTGACAAGATCACGGTTTGCTCTGTAGGGAAATGGTGGCGTTTACAAGCCACCGAAGATCGCTCCCACGGCTATGGACGAGAAAGAGAGTGCCAAGGACAAAAGGACGAGGCAGCGAGCCGAAAGGGAAGAGCAGCGTCGAGCTTCACGAAGCTCGTACATCAAATCTATGGTGGATGATCTCGAAGGAAGGCCTGAAGAGGTAAGCATTAACCTCGGTGTTGCCTGTGAGTTGAAAGTTTTTCTCTTGCCACAGATCCAGCATTCGCTCGGGGCTGAAAGCAAGCAGTTCCAGCGAGAGATGGCGAGGCTGGACGCGCGCGCAAAGCAAGAGGAAGACATGTTTACTCGTGTTCCTCTGTCCAAGGTGGAACGCAAGAGATTGACACGCTTAAAGCGTTCTCGAAACGGGTAAGCTCCAGAGCTATCGCGAGTTTTTCTCTGTAACGCTTCTGGATTTGAGTTACAGGCTCCAGGGGCTGATGGATGATTTCACCGACGATGTTGCTGGCTTGGCCTTTACCGAGGACGATGGCGATCAACCATCTCGCTCCAAGAAGCTCAAAAAATCCAAAGCTAGCGGCAAGCTTCGCGTAAAGAAACTTAAGGTAAGGAATGAAACATCTATCTATCACTAAACGAGTTTTTCTCTTTTGCCTTGCAGGGTAAGTTTAAAAATAAGAAGAAGAACCGCTCGTAAAAACGAAGCGAGGTCCACGTGGTCATGCCAAGTGTCAGGTCAGAAGCTCGGTTTTTCAAGCTGAAAAGAAGTTCACTCGTTTCTAGGGACAGGCAAGTGATTCATTCCATCGTTCGTTCTTCGAGCCAGAGATGGCAGATCAGGATCAAGCAAAGCAGCAAGCTCGCCGCATCATGAGCCGGCTGAGGGAGCGCGCGCCGAATTCCCGCCAGCTGCTCGGGATAGTCCTCCTCCTCACGGCTGCGCTCATCGTTCTAGTTCTCGGTGGCATCACTCTGGCCGGTGCTGGCCTCTCGCTGGCTCTCGCGACGCCGCTCTTCATCCTCTTCAGCCCGATCCTGGTGCCGCTGGCTGGGATCGTCGCAGTCGGCACCGGAGGATTCGTGTCGCTCAGCGCGGCCTTCGTGACCGCGTGCTCCGCGGTTGCATGGCTCTACAACTACGTCAAAGGCAGGCACCCGGTGGGAGCTGACAAGATCGACGCTGTCAAGCACAAAATCGCCGATACTGCGTCGCATGTCAGCGAGAAGGCCAGAGAAGTCGCGCGAGACGTTGGAGCTTGAGTCCGTCCAGCCGAGATAGTTTTGTTTGCTACTTGCTTTTGGTTGTGTCAATAATAGTACTGTCATTCTTATCGTTCTTATCTGGAAAACCATGAAGTGTTCTTGTGAAAACTTGAGAATTCCTTGCAAATGCAAAAATGTTTGTTATAGGTTGATCAAATGGAAAAATTTCGTTACAAAGTTCTTTGTGACATGCCAATTTAACATACATATAATAGATGAAATTCTTTGTGAAATGCAGAAAGTGATTGTCAGTAGTTATTTGTAATATGCCAAAAGTGATTACTGACTTGTGTAGTAACAAGCATGGATACGCCCAGCTCGTGCGCTCTTGCAGCAGCCCCAGAGATCTCCAGCGTGCCATCGCCATCCACGCGCAGATCCAAGCCTCACAGTTCAGGCACGACCGCTTCCTCGCCAATCTCCTCGTTGAGATGTATGGCAAGTGCGGCAGTGTTGCGGATGCCCGCCGCGTCTTCGACTCCATCCCGGATCCAAACAAGTTCTCCTCGACTCTCATGATCGCTGCTCACTCTCAGCACGGCCAAATCGTCCAAGCCCGCGAGCTCTTTGATCGAATGCCCGAGAAGGATACTGTCACTTGGAATGGCATGGCACGCGCTTATGCCCAGCAAGGGTATCTTGCCGAGGCCAAGGAGCTCTTCGATCGGACCCCCCGTCGGGACGTGATCTCGTGGACGACACTGGTTCTTTACTTTGCACACTATGGCCGGCTTGAGGAGTCGTGGAGATCCTTCCACCGGATGCCCAAGAGGGACACCATGGCGAGTGCTACCATGGTTGCGGCATTTGCCCAGCACGGCCTTGTGGAAGACGCGAAGAGTCTCTTTGATGGATTGCCCGAGAAGAGCTTGGTCGCGTGGAATTCACTCGTCCAGGGATACGTCCAGGGGGGTCTTGACGAGGAGGCCACCGCGATGCTAGAGAGGATGCCCGAATGGGACATTGTTTCGTGGAACACGGCTCTACAGTCGTACGTGGATTTGTGTGATTTTGATCGAGCGCGAGATATTTTTCGAAGGATTCCGGAGAGGGACACCATGGCTTCGACCGCGATGATCCAAGCAAATGGCCAGAGTGGGCATCTGGATGATGCGAGAAGGATCTTTGAGGAGATCAACTTCAAGGATCTGGTGTCATGGGCGACAGTGATTGTGGCTTACGTCAACAATGGCAAGATTTTGGAAGCAGAAGAGATGTTTAAGAAAATGCCGCTGTGGAACCTTTGGTCGTCAACTTGCATGATGGGTGCACATGCCCAAAGAGGGAATTATTCCGAGGTTGAAAGGATGTTTGCTTCCATACCCGATCGCGATGTAATTTGTTGCAATCTCATGCTTGAATGTCACGCCCAAGATGGAAAACTGAAAGACGCTATCAAGATCTTTGAGCGAATGCCAAAGCATAACGTACTGTCGTGGACTGGCTCTTCCCACACATATTCTCAAAAGGGGCACTTTGACGAGGCCGAAAGGATTTACAAGGAGATGCCCCAGCGGCAAATTAACGCTGCTAACACGCTGATTGTGGGATATACCCAATCTGGGCATATGGACAAGGCAAGGCGGATCTTTGAGAACGTTCCAGAACACAACCCATTGTCATTAACAACCATGATGGGGGCATATGCCCAACGAGGGCATATATCACAAGCCAAGTTCTTGTTTGACTCGTCCGTGGAGAAGAGCAGGGTGACCTGGAACTCCATAATGCAGGCCTACGTGAAATCTGGCCATGCAAAAGAAGCCCTTGAACTGTTTCATGCCATGGTTCTCGAGGGCCATACGCCAAATGATATCACTTTCATTCATGTTCTTAATTGTTGCAGCCATGCCGGATGGCTGCTAAGTAGCATAGACCACTTTCTGATCATGAGGGACGACTGGGGGATTGCTCCCGTTGCTGATCACTACTGCTGCGTGATCGATCTGTTTGGGCGTGCTGGGCAGCTCTGGAATGCCCAAGAGATTGTCAAGAGCATGCCGGTGAGAAGAGACGATGTAGCAGTTACCACTTTGCTTGCAGCATGTAGTGTTGCGGGTGACTTGAAGTGGGCCGAGGGTCTTACAGAGTCTGTGGTCGAAATGGAGGACAAGAATTCCGGGGCGTATGTATTGCTTTCAAACAGTATATCCTAGGTTCATGTCTAGTATACCCTCGAAGTTCTATAGAACTTTGAGTTAAACTCTTGTAAAGTTTTGGCAGAAGAGTCCTTGGTGTTGTTTTTGGTGCTCAACATGTTTGTGATGATGCTGGCCATGGGCGTGGACGTGGGAGAAATCGCAAAGACTGCTGCCCAGCGCTGCCAGTCGGGGTGGTATTGATATGACAATACCTGTCACCGTTGCCAGAGGGGTTGCAACAATCGTTGCTGGGGCAATTGAAACCAGAGGTTTCAGGGGGTAAGCCAGTTAAGAATCAGCATCGTAATTGCCTTTGATGGGTGAAAATAAGAATAAAAGACACTTTTCTGTATCGCCTTGCATGAGATATACATGAAATGTCCAGGCGTTGATATTTCCTTGATTTTGACTCCAGGCGCGCTGAGCTTTCCTTGGGTGGCATTTTACTTTCTTCACTTTGTTCTGTATGTCCCAGCAAACAAACACGGAACTATTAAGGCGGGTTTAGGGTTGAGGAGAAAAACTTGTTTCTCTTAGTTTGGGAGAGGCTTGGCGCCATGTTTCTATAAGAGTGATTCTGAGATGTTTAGAGTATTCAAGCTGTGTGACTATGGATAAGTTAGCTCGAACATCACGTATCTAAACTTGCAAGTGGTCTTGCTTTAGTTTCCATGAGAGCTAAATGGATATATAAATAGTATTTTGAATGAGGACCACAAATAACTGCAGAGATGAAAGTTTGCCAGTGCTTTTCAAGGAACCTGACGAACGATTTGAGGCTTTTCTCGAGTACATGGAGAAAGCGGAAGGTTTTTTCCACCTTGGTAGGTGTTGAGGTGTCGCTGAGAAATACGAAATACAAACTTGTTAGCTGAAATTGCTTGATACAAGAGAGTAAAATGCTCAAAATCAAGTAAAAAAATAAAAGACAATATATAAATCTTCAGTGACATGAGAATCAGTAATAGTGAGATATCAAGAGTTTGAAATCACTGCTTACTAATAACCTATATGCATGAGAAATAAAATGAGAATAATTAAAATCTAGCACACTTTAAAGGTTTTCTAAATTGATCTTACAAAACTGAAAATAATAAAAAAAAAAACATATTAAGAAGAAAAAATCTTATGAGAAAGAACTGTTTAGAAATACCCAAAAAGAAAGAAAGTAAGAGCATATAAAAACAATCATATATAAGAAGCAACTTCCATCATAAGGAAATTAATAACTATAGTAACATTGCATAGTACAAGGGTATGCTAACTTGTTTGTTCTTCTCTAGAAAAAGAAAGGGAACAATACCAAACTGTAAGTTTTTGGAAGTAACAAATGTTAACCTCCATAATAGGCTCAAAGAGAGAATTTCTCTGAGGTCGTGAGGATGTTTGCTTCCATACCAAAACAAGTCTCTGGATGACTGAAAGAGTATGGGAACAAAAAAGATTGTAAAGAGAACAAACAATATAAGTATTTCCTAAAGGAATACCATAATGGGTAACTCATCCTTGAGCTTTCCACTTGCTTTTTGAGCATTTTGCTTTGCTCACAACCTAGTGAAGATCCTTTTGGAAGACCTAGCTACTGTCATCATGGATATGTATTTATATATTAAAGGATCAATTGGCTTGAGGGATTTAGGGCTGGAACTGAACTCCAATATTAATATTAATATCTTATCCCTTGCAATTGCTTTCCATAAATATTCTATAGTTAAAATTAATTATAACATCTTTAACAAAGAGTTGTTAGTCATTGTTGATTGCTTTAAGGATTGACAATACTTCTTGAAGGGTGATACACATGTTATGATAATCTTTACTGATTATAAAAATTTGGAGTATTAATGCTCATCTTGTGTCCTCAATTGTTGCCAAGTATGCTAGTCTCAATCCTTAATCTCTCACTATCACTTTGTCATTATTCATCATCTAGGCAAATGAATGGTAAAGACCTGATACAATTACCTTGCTCTTACTTTAGTTTTTGAACTTCAAAAGCAAGTTTTACTTGACTCCTCTCAGTTCTAAATCAACTTGATTAGATAGTGTGACTTAACAGTGGTGCCTCCAGTCCAATTATCTTGTTCATCGTCAGATAAAACTCCAACCACTCTCAATGCTCTCTTGGTCTGACATAAACCTCCATGCAAATCTCCAACTGGACAGAGCAAAAGAGAAGAAAAGAAGTTATCTGGGACAAAACATAGATTTTTTTCTCAAATTTCTACACCAATAAACTATTTTTTTACAAACAACAATTTGTGAGGATTAATTGATAGATTTATTTGTTCATGAAGTTTGTAAAGTTATAGAAAGACTTACAAAGGCATGTTGAAGCATATTGAAAGATATCATTGTATGAATAAACTCCTTTTATGCATTGACACATACAAAGTCACTAAAATAGATGTTGAGCAAGATCAATAGTTTTACATACCTCAAAATAACCTATGAGGGGAGTGTAATGGCATGATTGAATAATATATAATTATTTTCAAAGACAAAGCTATGTGTAATGATGTAGGAGATCATCCCAAAATTGAAGAAAACAAAAATCCAAGCTTCTAGTGGTCAAGTAGACTACAAGGGTCAGGCCTAGTACCATAATCACCATGCCACATCCAATCTAGGACATATGCTTTGGCCTCAGCCATGCATTGCAGGGCATAGGGAGAGTTGCTGTTGGATTTGGGCAAAGTAATTAGGGGCAAAATTGAAATGGGCTGCCACGAAGAAGAGGCATGATAGGCATGCTCATGCTGCTGCTGCCACTGTTGGTGGTGCTGATGAATAGACGCTGCTAATCACTGAGATTCAGTCATAGCATTATGGACAGATGACCGAGAGAGCATGGAGACAAAGAGACGACATAACTGAGAGAGTGTCAACAACTCCAGCCCATACACAGGCCGAATGTCTTACAAGAACACGTGT